GCCATACCAGGAATTTGTGTAAAAATGGTTCTGTGTGTGGGAGGCCTTTGACCTCTAATTTTGCCAAGGAGAGAATCCTTATCTGCATCAACAGCCCAAGGGTGATTCCTCTGAAGGAGAGCTTAGACATGCCTCCACCCTCCAATCTGTTTACCGATTTTTACACTAGCAGACTGTCCCTCCCAGGGTACTCTCTGTTTAAGAGTAGGCTGATAATTTGTCATCACCCTTTGCCACCAAGCCTTGCTGGGGGCCCTTCTTGGGCGAGTGCTACCCTTCTTAGCTCAGAGGATCAGCAAGCCCCACTGCAGCCAACTCTAGCAGGTCTCCTGGTTCCTGTCTTGCACAGTTATCCCGCTTTTTTATTTTACTTTTCATTAGAATTTGGATTCAAGTTTACAGAGTAGCTGATTGACCATACAACAAGTCATACACATTTTGATTTATGATGTGAATTGCGTTCCTCACAGTGTAGCAGCTTCTTCCTTCTTCTTCCCTGTGTGTCTCGGTTCGGTTCCGCCTTCTTTCCTAGGCCTTACTGCTTCTTCGGCTTTCTCCCTAGGCAGCTGCTGCCCTTTTGACTTCTATGGTTGATTGTTCTAAGGAATGCTTACCTCCCTGGTACTGTTGTTTACTTCACAGCCTTTGTTGTTGTTGTTGTCAAGTGCTGTAGTGACCCTGTATAGGGTTTCCGAGGAGCAGCTGGTGAGCTTGAACCTTGCGGTTCAAACCAACCTTGCAGTCCAGTGCATTAACCCACAACACCACACCCGGTCTCCCCATAGGGCCTATGGTGGGGGTGGTTATGTGCCGTGGAGTCGGTCCCACTCATAGTGACCCTGTACAGGGTTTCCGAGGCTATAAATCTTTACAGAAGCACAAAGCCTCATTTTTCTCTTGAGGAACAGCTGGTAGTTTTGAACTGCTGACCTTGAGGTTCGCAGCCCGATTTGTAACCACTATGCTACCAGAGCTCCTGTAGTTTGGCTGAGAAGTGCCGCTCTCACATCCCTTGCTGTGTTCTTGTTCCCAGTTCCAGCTCCCTCTCTGCCTCCTTAGTCTCAGGGTTCACCCCACTCCTGGGTCTTCTCCTTTTCCCGTCTTTATATTGTGACTCCGGTGAAGGTTTACAGAACAGCTCGGTTTTCCAGCCTACAATTCCTGCACATTTTGTTTCATTTCACAATGAAACAGTCTGTATCCTGCTTCTACTGTGATCTCTGTTCCCATCCCTCCTCCTTGTCTCACCCTTCTGAACTTTGTCCTTGGGCAAAATGCTGCCTTTTGGATCTCAAATGGTAGTTAATCCTATGGTTATGTGTACCTCCAAAGTATTTTTGTTCCCCCAGTAGCCTTCTATTGTTTGGCTGAAAATATATCAATGGGGGTGAATTCATTTCTAGACCTGAAGGGGGTGGCTAAGGGGCGTAGTCTCGAGTTCTACCAGTTTTTATCTATCCGACCAGTAAGCCTGGTCTGCTGGGCTCTTCTGCCTTGATGATCATGGGCATCCACCCCCCTCCCCCCACTTCACCTCTTATTAAGTGCCGGGGAGTCAACTGACTCATAGCAACCCTGTAAAGGGTTTCTGAGGAGCGGCTAGTGGATTTCAACTGCCAATCTTTTGGTTCAAACCTACCTGTGGTCCAGTGCTTATCTTACAGCACCACACCAGGACTCTTAGCCTCTAGGATGGCTCATTTTAAGCCTATTTTTTTTGTTGTTATTTGCCGTGGATTTGGTTCCACCCATAGCGACCCTGTACAGGGTTTCTGAGGCTGTAAATCTTTACAGGAGCAGAAAGCCTCATCTTTCTCCTGCAGAACAGCTGGTAGTTTTGAACTGCTGACTGTGAGATTAGCAGCCCAATTCGCAACCACTACGCTACCAGATCCAGCAGGATGAAAAACTGACCAAATCCCTTGTTAGGGTTCCAGACACCTTATTTGCATGTAGTCTTGGTGTGGCACTGTAGGATAAGCACTGGACCACAAGGTCAGCAATTCAAACCCACCAGGAGCTCCTCGGAAACCCTGTACAGGGTCACTATGAGTTGAAACAGCCCTGAACAACAACCCTGTAAGGTTTGTAGTGCTGTAGTGTAGGCACTGGACTGCTAACTGCAAAGCTGGCAGTTCAAATCCATCAGCCACTTTGCGGGAGGTAAATGAGGCTTTCTGATCCTATAAAGAATTACAGCCTCAGAAACCCCATATAGGGTTGCTATCTGAGTCAGAATCAACTTGCTGGCAATGAGTTTGGTTCAGAACCCGGGTGGTGTAGTGGGTTACATGTGGGGCTTCTAACTACAAGGTCCACCAGCTAATCTGTGAGAGAAAGATGAAGCTTTCTGCTCCTGTAAAGATGTAAGCCTTGGAAACCCTGCACAGGGTCGCTGTGAGTTAGAACTACCTAGAAGACATACAACAACAACCACCACCCCACAAGGACACCATACACCTTATTTACTTTACTAGCAAGCTGCAGTTCAAAGAGCACAGGCTTCGGTATGGGTTGCATCTCAATGTCAGAAAAACAAAAATCCTCACCACTGGACCAATAAACAACATTCTTATCAATGGAGAAGAGATTGAGGTTGTCAAGGACTTCATTCTTCTTGGATCAACTATCAACATTCACAGAAGCAACAGTCAAGAGATCCGACGACGTATTGCATTGGGCAAATCTGCTGCACAGGAATTTTTTAAAGTGTTGAAGAGCAGAGATGTCAGCTTGAGGACTAAGGTGCGCCTGACCCAGGCCATGGTGTTTTCAATAGCCTCATATGGATGCGAAAGCTGGACAGTGAATAAGGAAGATCGTAGAAGAATTGATGCCTTTGAGTTGTGGTGTTGGAGGAGAATACTGAAATTGCCATGGACTGCCAAAAGAACCAATAGATCTGTTTTGGAAGAAGTGCAGCCAGAGTGCTCCTTGGAGGCCAAGATGGCTAAGCTTCGTCTCTCATACTTTGGAAATATTGTCAGGAGAGAACAGTTGCTGGAGAAGGATGTCATACTGGGTAAGATGCAGGGTCAGAGAAAAAGAGGAAGACCCCTAACGAGATGGATTAGCCAGGTGGCATCATTGATGGCGTCAAGTGTGGCAGTGGTAGTGAGGTTGGCCTAGGATCGGACATTGTTTCGTTCTGCTGTGCATGGGGTCGCTATGAGTCGGTTCCGACTCGATGGCACCTGACAACAACAGCAAGCTATCCAAGCCCCTTGATAGGCCACGATACCTCATTTGCATAGTTCTAGCCAGTCATTTATTTGGTAGGAGTGACGCTGTAGGTTAATGGGCTGGACTGCAAATTCCGTTTCAACCACAAGGTCAGCAGTTCAGGCTCACCAGCTGGTTCCTTAGAAACCGTATACAGGGTCACTATGGGTGGGAACCAACTCAACAGCATTTAACAACAACAGACTATATTGGTGTGACACTATAGGGTAAACACTGGACTGTTAACCAAAGTGGGTGATTCATACCCACCAGCCACTCCTCAGAAACCCTATATAGGGTCACTGTTAAGTCAGATCTATAGTACCTCAAAAGTCGACAGACCATTCTGGATTTTTCACCAAGGCAGATGCTGTGGGGGAGGTCCTTATTCCCCACAGGCCCAATGTCTCATGAAGGTGACAGTAGTACAGCATAGGGTCTGTGCAAGTCAAATGCAAGGACTGAAGTACAGTCTTCTTGGGGCAGGAGACCTCCCGGTTTAGGGGACTGCTTTCCTCAGCGGTAGAATGGAAAACCCAGGAGTCTGTTGGGAGGCCCGATGAAAGACGGCTGCAGCTGTGTGCCATCAAATTGGTCCCAACTCATAATGATCCTATGTAGGGTTTCTGAGACTGTACTGTTACGGAGTAGAGAGCCTCATTTATCTCCCACAGAGCAGCTGATGGACTCAAACTGCTGACCTTGCTGTTAGCAGCCCAATACATAACCCATTACACTACCAGAGCTTCTTCATGAAGTACGTACTAATAATTACAGCTGGTGTGACACTGTAGGATTAACACTAGTCTGGAAACCACAAGTTCGGCAGTTCAAACCCACGAGCTGCTCCTTGGAAACCCTACACAGGGTCGCTGTGAATCAGAACCAACTCAGCAACACTTAACAACAACAAACAAAAAGGTCAAGGAGCCCTGGTGGCGCACTGGTGAAACATTAGGCTGCTAACAGACAGGGCAGAGCTAGACCTGGTTATCTGCCCCCATAAGGGTTATAGTTTACGGGGCAGGTCTAGAAGTCCTACAGGGTCACTCAACAGGAGTCCGTTATACACCAGGGGCTCCTCAGTTGCTGAAGCTCAGTAAACGTGGAGGATTAATAAGAGATTGAAGCTTCACAGCAGCTCCCTGAACCAGCAGGTGGTTGTTACTGTGAAGTGCCATCCAGTCAATCCCAACTCATAGCCACCTTGTATCGGATTTCCGGGCAGTGGCTCGTGGGTTTGAACAGTCGATCTTACAGGTAATGGTGGTAGTTGGTGGTTATGTGCCGTGGGGTCGGTACCGACTCATAGCGACCCTGTACAGGGTTTCCGAGGCTGTAAATCTTTACGGGAGCAGAAAGCCTCATCTTTCTCCCGTGGAACGGCTGGTAGTTTTGAACTGCTGACCTTGCGGTTCACAGCCCGATTCGTAACCACTACGCTACCAGAGCTCCTTTTACAGGTGGTAGGTTAGTGCTTGTGGACTCCTGGTGTGGCGCTATGGGTTAATGACTGTGGGTCAGACTGCAAAGCCGTTTCAACTGCAAAGTCGGAGGTTCAAGCTCACCAGCTGCTCCCCGGAAACTCTCTATACAGGGTCGTTATGGGCCGGAATCGACTCGACAGCTCTTAACAACAACAGGCTAGTGTTTATCCTACAGCACCACACCTGGTATTACCCCTAACGCTGAGGGTTGGGGAGGACTGCGGGTGCAGGGGAGTTGAGATTTGAGATTCACGACCCCCACCCCTTGACTCTCTTTCTCTCTCTCTGCAGGCGCTGGGGTTGTGGAGATCCGGAGTCGCCACAGCTCATACCCCGCAGGGTCCGAGGAGGATGAAGGGATGGAAGAGGAACCCAGCCACTTTCGGGGCCGCTCGCTTTCAGCGCCTCCCAATCTCTGGGCTGCACAGAGATATGGTCGCGAACTCCGCAGGATGAGCGACGAGTTCGAGGGCTCTTTCAAGGTGAGCGCCAGCCCGGGGGACGCGGGGACCTGTAGTCCCACATCTTTTCACCGCTCTGTCTTTCCCAGAGTCCCAGGCATGCTGGGATTTGTAGTCCTCTCCCCTCTTCCCGCCCCTCCGGCCGGTGCCTTCCGAGTCGAGGGCTTGTCGGGATCTGTAATCCAGAGTTCCACTTCATACAAACACCTTTCCCGAACCCCTTTAAATTCTGGACCCTGCCTTTGCTGCAGAGCTCCAGGATTCTCCCAATCCTTAGAGCACAAGGCATGCTGGGATCTGTGCTCCTACCCAGCCGGTTGGGTTTTCCGAATCCATTGGCCCCAGTTTTCCAGATGCTTGATCTCCAGCTCTGGAGCTGCCATTCCTAGGATCCCCAGGTGTCCCCCGGCTCCCCTCTCCCCCAGGTACGGGGTTTCTATGATCTATATTCTAGGACTCAAGATCTGTAGTACTAGAACCAACGTACCCTCTCAGCTCCCTACCGCGCAGCCGAGGGCTCCGTCCTCTCCCCCGGGAGCTCAGGCAGTGGTCGCCTCCGGTAGCGGGTCTGGAGCCAGCTACCCGAGTGACGTAACCCTTTTAACCCTTGCCTCCCCCCCACTCCAAAGGGACTTCCTCGCCCGAAGAGCGCGGGCACAGCTATACAGATGCGACAGAGCTCCAGCTGGACACACGTCATCCAGTCCTGGTGGGATCGGAATTTGGGGAAAGGTGGCTCCGCCCCCTCCCAATGACTTCCCCTCCCACGTTCTTGAAAACCTGCCCACTTCTGTCGCCGTTGGCAGCCATCTTGGGTGTGGGCGGAAGCCACCCGCAGACCTTATGCAAAATGGGGAACCTTTCTGGCCCGTGGAAAGAGAGCTGGTCGATTCCCTTCCGGAGCGAGCTGGAGCCACCGCCACTGAGGGTTCCGCTCCAGGGGAAGGTCAAGTTGCTCTGGCCCCGCCCTCGGCGCTACTGTTCTTCCCCTCCCCCCGGCACTAAATGGCGGGATTAACCACTTCTGTGCCATCACCCGTATTCCCCAGCAATGCGGAAGACCGAAGCTCGCAACTCCACACGCGAATAAAGCCCGCATTTGTGCCGCTAAGTGTCCTCTGTTCTTTGCTTGTGGTTTCCCAGGCGGAGCTAGTACTCACGCCTAGAGCCTTCCATGAGGCGCCTGCTCATTACATCTGGGGAAGCTGGCTTTTTGAGCGGCTTCTCTAGGAATGTCAGGCCCTGGGCCCCACTGACCTCCTGGTTCTTATCTCTAATATGGTCATTGGGAATCTTAGCCAGGCCAGCCACCAGAATTCTGTGTTCTGCAAACCGTACTGGGGCCCCCCAGGGAGGGTCATTTGTTCCTATTTGGGTCAGTCCTTGTGAGCAGCTACTGGGTGGCGGGCATGGGGCCAGCAGTACTCCAGGGAACAGGCGGGGGCGGGAGGGCGGCACGCTGGACCAGACTGCGAAGGGACCTGGACTGAAGGGGCACTTCCCGAAGACCTGGGATCAGAGCTCGGACTTTAATTCCACAAGGATTTATTAGTGCCCCTATAGACCAGTGCTTTGTACTAGGTACAGAGATATTTCCACAGCCCCTTTCTGGGGCTCTCTGCCAAAGGGAAAGCCAGCCTCAAAGAGGTGTTAGCTGAGCACCCTGAGAGGGGACCCCCACAGGGGTGAGGAATGCAGTCAGAGAGGGCTTTAGGGAGGAGGTAAATCAGAGCTGAGGCTTCAGGGTAGAGAGATGAAGGCAGATAGCATGTGGCAGCAGCAGGGGCTAGGCTGCAAGTGTCCCACCCAGGAGTTTAGATTTAGCCTGGACTTTGAGGACGTGGAACTGGTGTGGGTGGGATCTAGTAGTGTTTCTGTAAATGGTGAGATAAGTCCAGAAGATGGGAGTTGGATGTAGAAGGGCAGGGTGGGAATAGGAGGAGGACCCAGAGCATCACGTCCCCAGGAAAGCCGGACTCAGTCTCTCTGGCTTCCCCACCCCATCTACTTGGCTGAGGGGACAGCAAAAACAAAGCAAAGCAAACGCTCAATTGGCAGGAGATAAGCCCAGATAAAAGGCTGCCTTCTTCCTCTGGAGGAGGGAAGCCTCAGCCCCAGGAAGCTGGGAGAGGCCTTGAAGAAGGGCCAGCCTGCTCCTGCCACAGACCTCGGCCGCACCCTTGCCAAAGGTCTCTGCCACTCCACGCAGTTCATCCTTCAGGCTGGCCGCAGACTGTCCACCATGGAGGGGCCAGGCCCACCCTGAGCCTCCAGGTCAGGACATCTTGACTTAGCTGTGGCCTGCGACACACGACTTCCTCTCTGGGCCTCAGTTTTCTCACCTGTAAAACAGGCATAATATCTCCCTCACAGGGGTGAGGAGGACACTGGGTCTCCCAGCCCAGGAAGTCACTGCCAGGCCTGCTGTTCAGCTCCACCCTGAGCTGGTGCATCCCCCATACAGAGGAGCAGGCTGTCTGGGGCCCAGAGCAGCCCTGGCGGAAGATGCCGGGCACTTGGGTCATATCGGGCAACAGGAAGGTGGGGGCAGGGAAAGCTTCCTGGAACAGAGGCCAGAGCTTCTGTGGAGGTCAGGGAGAGGCTACGAGGGAGAAGGTAATGGGGTCAGGGTGAAATCGGGAATGGAGATGGAAGGCAGGGATAGCTTGGGAAGACTCACAGATCCCAGGCAAGGAGGCCTGGAAGCTTTCCATTCATCAGCCCTTTGCTGGGGACCTGACCTTAACCCCACCAAATGCCCACAGGCCCATTTTACAGCTGAGGAAATTGAGGCCCCCAAAGTAAGTGGCAGAGCCAGACCTCCAGAACTGCCCTACCCCAAACCACGCTGCACACGGGGGTCCCTGAAATCCACTTTTATTCATGTAAAAAAAAATCCCCAAAGAATAGAGAATGTGACTTCTTCATCCCAGAGCTTGGAATCCCCAACCAGTGTTTCCTGGGGCGGTGAGACAGACTACTCCCACTCTGGGTGTGAGTGTCCTGTGGGTAGGGGGGAAGGGGAGACCCCAGGGGCACCTGATGTGGGCCCCTCTGGCTAGGATGACTTAGCACCCTTCCCAGACCTGAAGGCAAGGAGGCACAGCACGGCACTGCTGGGGGCCAGGAGGATGCAGGGAGTTAGTGTGGGGGACTTGCCCCAGGTTTAAAAAAATAAAATTTCTAAAAAGTTAAAAATAAAAACTTAGTGTCTTGGCCTCCTCCGGTTGCCCTCCAAGAACCGCCCCAACCCTGGAGCCACCTCTTGCCCAGCCAGCTTAGAGCTTAGTATTTTCCTCCAGGCTCTCCAACTCAGTGCCCGACAGGTGGCTGCTGCTGCCGCCGGGAGCATGGCCATTGCTGGCAGAGGCCACCACATGCCTGTCCCCCAGCAGCTGCTCCGATGTCTCGCCCAACAGGCTCCAGCGGATCTCCTGGGGCAGCCTCGCCCGCTGCTCCTGACACTGCTGCATCAGCTGGGTCAGCAGCTGTGGGCAGAGGACAGGGTCACAGACCAGGCTAAGCCAGGCCGCCCAACACAGCACCCACCTGCCCCACAGCCTCACCTTGGGCTCTTCCTCTGCCAGCTGCTGTAGGACCTGCTGCTGCCCAACCACCAGGCAGTCGTGTCGCTGCTTCTGGGCCTCCTCCAGCTGCAGGGGAGGGCAAGGCTCAGCTGAGGCCCCTGGGCTCTGGCTGGACATAGAGGTCAATGGGCCAAGGGTTCCAGAACTGGGAGGGAGTAGGGGCCAGGGTTCTGAGACGGCCCCTACAGCACACATGCCAGGCCTGACGCCATAGTCGCAGTGGACTTTGGACATGATGTGGGAAGAGGGGCCTGTGAGTCCAGGGGGAAGGGCTCTAGCAGCCCCTCGAGGTTGGGCAGATGCTGACATAAGAGGGGTGGGGCAGGGCAGCCCTTGAGTATCACTCACCCGGCGGATGGAGTTGACCGACTCAGTGATATGGCGACGGTTAATCTCTGTAAATTCCCTGCTGAACAGCAAGGCAGGATGAGCTCAGAGCCTGCGCCCCACTGCCCCAGCCCTAACTTCCCAGCACCCAAGGGGCTCCCAGGCCTGAAGCCCTTACACCTCCTTCTTAGATTTCTCCCTCGTCTTGGCCTCCGAGATACTATTATGGCGTTTCCTGTCCAGGATTTTCTGTAGTTCCTTCTTTTCTCTGGGGGAGCCGGTTGGGGACAGAAAGGGTCAAGAGCAGAACCGGGGCTGCCTGTCCTTCTCAGGGCACCAACCAAGACCCCCGCCTTCACCTCTCATTCTGCTCCTTTAGCTTCTTGAGCTGAGTTGTGTGGGCATCCAGGACCACCTCCCTGAGCCGGTGCTGAACCTGTGGACATGGGAGTGGAGAGAGGACCAACAGGTGCAACAGTTGCTGACCAGTCCATGCAGGGGGCAGGCTCACTCTTGCCACCCAGCCCCCGTACCTGTCTCAGATGCTCCATCCTCCGCTCAGTCTCTACAGCCACCTGAGCCTCCCTCAGCTCCAGCAAATTCTGCACCTGCCTTTCCTGGAACTCCTGGTACCGTTTCACCTCCTCCTCGTCCTCCTCCTCAGTAGCCCCCGCTCTGTGGGAAGAGCCCCACTGCTGATGCCGGGAATGCCATGGGGGTGGGGCATGTGCCAATTCCAAGGGGGTCTGTTCTGAGAGTGAGGAGGCCCTTTTCCGCTCACCTGAATGATGAGTCTCTCTGGAAACATGTGCTGTTTGTGGAGAACCTCAAATGAAGGGGTCCCTCCTTGGGGACCTTGTGGGAAGCCCCCTCCCTGGGGGCTAAGGGGCAGTCCCCGACCTGCCCCAGTGTTTATGCACAGGCTCCCCACCTGCGCCGGCCTCTGCCCTCGGCCCGGGCCTGGGTCAGGCTGTTGAGGGACCGGCGGGAGGCAGCCAAGAGTTTCCGCTGATGCTTCTTGAGGATTTCCCGCAGCTCACGCTCCTGCCGGCTCTGCAGCTTCACCAGTGCCTTGTGACCTCGATGCTCCTCCAGCGGAGTCGGGGTCGGGGCCACCTCTGTGAGCAACAGAGCCAAGGCGGGCTGGCTTGGCACTGGGCTGGAGTGCTGGGCCAGCTGACCGTCTCGGGCAGGGCAGGGGGCAGTCCCCACGCCAGCCCCGCTCCCTACCTGCAAGGATGGCGGCAATGAGATCATCCCGCTGGCCTAGAGAGCAAAGGTTGGGAGTGGCGGGCAACTGGAATACCAGCCAAGCTTCTCTCCCCATCCCCCGCCCCCAAGTCCAGGCCACCTCATACCTGGGCTGCTGTAGGAGGGGCTGGTCGGGGAGGTGGAAGGACCTGGGGGCCGGCGGGGGGAGATGTCCAATGAGCTAACTGTGGGGTTCGGGGACAGCTGGATCCCCAACTGCTGGGACTGGGGCTCCTGGTTCTTCTCAGAGCCAGCCTGGGCCTGTTTGGGGAAAAGCAGAATAGTGTTCAATCCAAAAATGTTCTTCTCAGACCCCAGCAGCCCCCTGGAGCCCACCTGGCCACTGGACTCTTCGGTAACACAGTCAACTATATGCAAAGTCCTGCTGGTGTGTCAGTAACCTATGAGTCGCCTCCAGCCATGGTGACCTCACACCACTCCCCCACCCCCCACTGTCGCGCCAATTCCAACTTCTCACCAATTCCAACTTCTCACGACCCTATAGGATAGTGCAACTGCCTCCTAGGGCTTCTGAGGCTATAAATCCTTACAAAAAGTAGACAGCTTCATGCTTCCCCTGCAGAGCAGCTGGTGAGTTTGAAGTGCTGACCTTTGGGTTAGCAGTCCAATGCTTAATGACTGCACCATCAGGGTTCCTTAGGGTGGCCCCAAAGAATATAAACCAAATGCATCTAAGTGCCTGGCCCCATAAGGTGTGGGAAGCTCAAGGAAAAACGTGTCTCTAGAATACCAGACCCACTGTGTGTGCTCAGAAAGACTTCCAGATTATTCTGGAAACTCTGCCCAGACTGGAAGCTTCCTCCCCTTTCTGTGAGCCTCCACCCTTGTCCACAGTGGCTCATCCTCCCCAAGGCTCAGCTCCTGATTAAATCAACAAAGGAAGTGATTGCCGAGCAGGCACCAGGCTCTCCTGTTAACAGCTGCAAGAGGCCCTAATTGCAGCCATCTCTTCCCCCCGCCGGCCGCAGACCCCTGGGGACTGGGTCTAGATGTGCAGACGAAACTCTGCTTCTGACCCTCCCCACAGAAGCCACGGCCCTCCTCGTGGCTCTCAGGACCCCTTCCTTCTAAAAGCTTCAAACCGCCCTGGTAAAGTGGCTAGAGGCTCACACCTCGGCTCCCAACCCACTAGGCGCTGGAGGAATTCCAGTCCAGGCCTGCCCTGGGGGCCTCTCAGAGGCAAAAGGAGTGATTCGACTTCACTCTCAAGATGTGGAGAGCAAGCCAAGGCCACTGAGCTGCTGCGTGAGAGGGAGACAGACAGAAGGCCCAGCTGTGGAGGCACCCCAGCCAGCCAGGCTGAGAGAGCTGTGCAAAGTGCTCAGTGCCCCTCCCCAAATTCAACCTGGGACCAGTGGCAAACTCATGGGTGACTGGGAGTCGGGTTAACGAGCCAAGGAGGTGAGCGAGCTCACCCCGGACGTGGCTGGGAGCTGGTACTCAGCCTTCCCTGGGCTTTAGGTTCTGGCTTGGTGACCCAGAAGAATCCAGAAAGGGAACCAGACTCTCCAGGCAGAGGAGATGGGTAGCTACACCCAAAGGAGGAGGAGTGGGTGGCCAACCACCAGGCTGGGGGTTCGGCTTGGCCTATCTCACCTCTGCACTCACACCCATGCAGGCACCCCTCTGGCTCACCTCGCTGTCCCCAATGAGGGCGGCCAACTGCTTGGCTCTCTGATCCATTAGGCTCACGTGCTTGATGGGATTGATCAGCGCCTCGGCGTAGTCTACGGGAGAGGGCAAGGGTAAGCTCAGCACAGCTCACTGAGGAGCTGCGGGTACATCCCTTCACCATCCTGAATCGGGGCCACCTTGTTCAGGCATTACCAGCACCCCACCCACCCCAGCTCACCCTGGTGGTCATCCGGGATGTAGTCAGAAGCCTCAGTATAAACTAGTAAGGCCGGTAAGCACAGCGGCTGGTTGGCCTCGTTCCGAAGACAAACGTAGTGATACCCTGGCCGAGCAAGAGGTCAAGGTCAGCTAGGCGGGACCCACACACCCACTGCCCCAGTACTGTCCAAGCCCAACATGGCATCACCTGAGCGGATGGCGGAGACAGGTAGAATCCGATGTCCCACAAACTTGCCCCCCTCCTCAAAGGCTGCAATCCTCAGTGAAGCAAGTGTAGGCAGCACCACCTGCAGACACAGACGTGCTGAGCCACCATGGCCCAAGGCCTGACCATCAAATGGACCCCTGGGCCCACGGACCTAGCGACAGACCGTAAGTCCCCACAGCTCAGCTATGGAACAGGGCCTGACCCAGTGAACAACCAATGACCTAAGAGAACAGACCAGCAGACCCCTCTGGGCCCAGGTCCAATGGTGACACAGATCAGAAACTGTGTGGGGAGCCCGGGTCAGAAGCAGAGACCCAGGACAGGCGGAAGGAATGGGTATGGACTTGGGGTGATGACCTCCTCCCTGACACAGATAGGTGTGTACAGGTGCTCTCCTCATGGTGGCCTCCCTGTCTCCCTCTCCATTCTTCTCTCATCCTACGGAGCTGGGGTGCATAGGGCCTGGGGTGGGACCTGGAAGTGCGTCAGCAGCCCCGTTTCCAATCTTCGAGTACAGTAGTATGTATACCTGGTTCCCATGCACAGGCCTGAGCCAGGCAGGTGGAGACCGGACTCACCTTGGGGAACTCGAAGGGCTCTTCATCCCACACGGGGTTGAACGAGTTCCCCTGTGAGGTCCGCGTGCGGTACCTGCGCCGCGTGTCAACAGGCAGACCGAACATGTCCACCTCCACGTAGATGCCCACCTTTCTATCCGACAGGAACTGTCCTGAGATGACCTGGGGGAAAGGTGAGCCGAGGACAGTGAGGTGGTTGCTGAGAGTCCCATTTCCCAGGACACCCTGGCCCCACCCCCCAGGCCCCCACCTTGACCCGTAAAGCGTTGGCCACGATGCCGTCCACAATGACTTCAGTGAAGGGGTCGAAGGATTTGTCTGGCCGCCGCATAAACTCAGGTTTGAGCAGGTAGCCAGTGCGCCCGTTGTACTCAAACACGCCAGCGTTGAGCTGCATGGCCACATCTGGGGTGATAGGAAGGCAAGGGTCAGCCAGGATCAAGGGGGACAGGGTCAGGTAGCAGTGCAGAGTTCACTAGGGTTCAAATGGCAGGCATCCAGGCTCACAAAAGATTAGACAAGGTGATGGGTATGGAGACAGTGAAGGTCAGGAGTTGGGCTGAGTTGAGTTGTGAGGCAAGATCAGACAGGGTCAGGTTGTGGGTCAAAAGTCAGTGGGGCTGGGGGTCAGAGGTCAGGGGCCAAGGTGGCCAGCACTCACCCAGGGTCTGGAAGTTGAGTGCAACCAGCTGGCAGCCCACATTCCAGAAGAGCTGGGGCATGTAGTTGGACGAGTCCACACGAGTGCCCTTGGGGTAGATTCGGCTGAGCTGCTGCTTGTTGTACCTGAGGTTTGAAGTCAGGGGCCACACAGACGCCCAGGCCGCCCCGCGCCCCCTGGTGGCCTCTGCCTCCTACCTCCAGCCCAGCTTTCCATGCTAGTTTGTGCTCCTGTGAGCTCCGCCTCACACTGCCCCACTATCACCCACTCTGGGCCTAGCCCCTGGAGGTCTCCAGGGCCCAACCAACTAACAGTCTAAGCCCCAGACCAGGGCCTGTGGCAGTGGCATCTGCGGGCACCCTGCCCACAGCAACTCAGAAGGATACTCCACAAACTCCATGGGGCTCTTAGTCAGTTGTTCCAGGGCCTTTGTCTCCACGAAGGATGACATCTCAAAGCATTTGTTCCTCTCTGAGACAAGATCGAGGGTGTTAAGGCCAGCAGGACCTGACAAGGCCAGCTCCTACCTCCACCACCTCACACCCCACTCACTGCGAGCAGCCTCGAAGGACTTGAACTTGACAGGCTCAATGTAGTTCACCAAAGTGGACATTTCTTCAGTGGCATTGACCTCACTGCTGGCTGTGCCCTGTGATACCAAACCCAGGGTCAGCATTATCATGACCCCCAGCCATCAGCTGGAGGCTCCCTCCCATTGGAGCCCAAGTCTGAGACGTGCGCCCACTCCACACCTCCTCATGGGTATCATACCCACCACAGGCTCCTCCTCTCAGTCGGCCTGGTCCCCTCTATCCCATTAATGCCAACCCTCCAGCCAGGCTGTCCTTCCCACACTCCTCCCTCCACTGCTGACTGGCCCACTGGCCCGCCAGACCAATGATCCACAGCCTCCCTAGTCCTGGCCCTGCCCACCCTGGCAGACCTCTTCCTGGGGCCCCACCCCGATGGAAGCCGGAAGCCTAAAAGTACAATGACATAAGTACAAATGACGCCAAATGCATACCTCAGGCAGTATTTCTGTCACCACCTTGCTATACCCTCTTAGGTGGAGAACACAGCTGACCCCTCAACCGCTCCAGGCCCCTCTGAAACCCAACGTCATCAGGCATATCCTTGATACTCTCCAGGACCATGCCCTCATTCACACTGCCTGCCCCTAGCCCAACCACAGGGCCTTTGCATGTCTTCCCACTTCCTCAGCTTGGCCATTCCGGGCTCCCTACACCGTCCTCTGCCTGGCCCAAGTCATAGTGTTTTTTTTGCATGTCTGTTTCTCAGAGACCTGCCCTGGCATCCATCTACGCTGAACTCCAGGAGGGCAAGGGACAGTGCTCACGCCATACCCTGCAGCAAGCACTGTGCCTGGCACACCATAGGTGCGCATTAAATGCTCAGGAAATGAACACATGCCACCTGCCCCTGCCTTCAAGCCTGACCTCATCTGTGGTTGGCTTTTTGGGGTCCGTCTGCTCCTCCTCTTCTTCATCTTCCTCTTCATCCTCACGGTCGGCAGGCCCAAGAGCATCAGGCCCCCGACGTAACCCCTCTTCACCCAGAGACTTCCGGGGCTCCAAGCTGAGTTTCTCAAGCCCCGTCTCCTCCCCGTTGCTCAGGCCTGGACAGCTGTCGGAACTGGGAGACCCTAAAGAGAGAGGCCACAGGGAGTCAGATGCTTGGGAAACTGGGAGCAGGGGTGTCTGTGCAGGTAACGCAGGATGCAGTAGACCATCCAAGAGGTGTTTATCGGGGGAGGCCAAAGGTAAGATGGCATTAAGTTAGTTCAGAGGGGTCACAGGTCAGGGTCAGCAGGGCGGTATGCAGGACAACTCAGATGGATGAGAAGTCAGAAAACTGGGGTTCGGTAGCTTAACCCAATGAATAGGGTACAGGTCAATTAGACCTGCACCCAAGGAGGAAGCTAAGTGAGATGACAAAGGTCAAATGCTACCATATTAAGCTGAGTGTAGGAGGGGCATCAATGGGGTCAGAGATCAAGGGTTGACTGCAATTAAAGACAACTGAGTGGGTAGACTCAGTGGGGTCACAGAGTCAGGGAGGCTTGAAGGCTTGGACCCAGAGCATGGGCATGTGGCTCAGTGAGGTCAGGATTCAGTCACCATGTGGTTGGACCGTTGAGGCTGAGGAGTTAGGAGTTGAAAGGAGCCAATCCCTCTGGGGCATTGCTCAGTGAGGTGAGTGTCTGGAGGCACCTTCCCTGTTGAAAGGTGGTACGTGGCTCAGGGAGGAGAAAGGCCAGGTGAGGAGTGAACAGTGTCCCAGGGAGGGACAGGCTCAGTAAGGTGCAAGGTGAAGACGGGGCGGGGGACTGAGATGAGAGACCGGGATCAAGGGTCAGACCAGAGTCATACCAAGCTGGGGCGAGGAGGGCTCCGTGGCAGCCGAGCTCTCGCTCAGGACTGAGTTGCTCTGCTCCAACGTCCGCTTGCGCACGGAGCTGCCAGGGACACTGGTGCTGGGCCGGTGCCGCTTCTTATTCTTCACTAGGATTCGTCCAATCAGGTCCTGGGGGCTGGGCAGCTGGACGCCTGGGGCCAGCTGGGTGGAGAAGGACAGGTCAGGGCCACTGAGGCGCCCCTGCCCCCCACCTGCCCTGCCATGATCCCAAGCCCCCATACCGGGTACTTGTCCAGAGGGTCAATGAGCAGAGCATCCCCGAAAATAGAACGGCAGTACTCAGCCATCTTGGCCTGCTGCTTTGCCCTGTGGGGCCAAGGTCAGAGGTCAGAGGAACTTCCCAGGAGCAAAAGTGACAGGAGAGTTAAACCATCGTCCCATGATGCCCACTCACGAGTCCACGTGGTTCTCGAAGGACAGAATGACAGGGTAGGGCGAGGTCTTGAAGGCGGTCTCAGCGATGGCCTCAAGCACGTCCCGCAGCGGCACCTCAGTGGTCATGGTGAAACCATGAGTGATGAAAGGCTCCTCCTCGGGGGGCCGTCCCTTCCACACGTCCAGCTCCACACAGCGGCAGCCCCATAGCAGTGCCTGCCGGTACATCTCCACCGACGAGGTCCCGGCCAGCTGCCCCGCTGCAGACCACGTTTGGTCACCTCACCCAACCAGGTTCCATGTCTCCCAGACAGGCCATGCTGGGGTCCCAGAGGCCCCCTGTGGCAACCCAGTTCAGCCCTGGCCTGCCGTCAGGCCAGCCTATTCTCAGCACCCTAAATCCAAAGTCCTGGTGTGGTGCTGTGGGCTAAGGAGCTGGGCTGCAAGGTCGGTTTAACCAGCTGCTCCTTGGAAACCCTATACAGGGTAGCTATGAGTCGGAAGCAACTTGATGGCACTTAACAACAAATACAATCCAAACCAGTTGTTGACTTGATTCCAACTCACAGTGACCCCATGTGGTGAAGAGATGAACTGCTCCATCACTTTAAAATGCAGTAGTGTTCCAGGTGGTGGCCTTTTGGAAGATCACCAGGACTTTCTTCGGAGGTACCTCACACTTTAACTGTTTGCAACACCTGGGAACTCCTACTAGCAGCCTGATCACTTCTTAATTACTTGCAGAAGAAGCACCAACTCCCAGAAAATTCTTAGAGCTGGGCCCATGCTCACTCACCCAGCCCTGGTGCCCTCTCCAAGGTGACACATAGCTGTCCACCAGCTGTTCCCCCCAGGTCTCACACCCCTACAGGTGAACATCCATCCCTGATCCCGAACCCTAAGAGTCATACCTAATGCCTGCCAACCCCACTCCTTGCAACTCCCATAATCCCTCCCTTCTTTCTACCTCCTCTGCACCCTCCTGCCTCAGGGACCCATAGGCCCCTCCCTGCCTTCAATCCAGTCTCCACCAGCACTGGCCGTCCTCCTTCTAAAAACATACCAGGTCACCTCACCTCCCCCCCCCCGGGCCCTGCTTCCAAAGCCCCTCCCTCCCTCTTAGGACACAGCCACATTCCTGTGTCCCTGGCCATCCCGCATGCCCAGCCAGGCAGTTGTCTGTTCCAGGCCTTCAAACAAGCTACTCCTCCATCAGCAGCTCAGTGGTGAGAGCTGGCCCAGGCCCCAGCCCTTCCCCAAGGGAGGCCCTTGCTGACCACCCACGAGACCAAATGCTACCATGCCGAGACAATGTCCCCCAGGCCAGCTCTCAGCTCTCTGTGGCCAGGGGTAAAAGGTCAGGGCTGGCTGAGGGCGTGCTCACCGGTGAGATACGTGTTGTGTGAGGAGTTAATGAAGTAGGAGCTCAGCGGCTGAGTCATGTCTGCACTCAGGTCTAAGGCCTCCAGGGGCAAAATGCCGTTCTCCTCCCCTCCCAGGTAGCGGCTGAAGCCTTCCATGGACATCTGGTCTAGGGGCAGGGGCAGTGGAGTAAGCTGGACGCTCCCTTCTGCTCTCATCCTGGACCTGCTGCCTGGTCCTGCTGGCCGGCTCACCTCGCTCCAGGAACTGTTGATTGGGCTCATACTTCTCTATGAGCTGCCGAGCCTGTGAGGGCCGCAGCGGTGGGTACAGCACTTCATTGAGTCTCGGGTCGCGCTGCTTCTGGTTGATGAAGTCCATGAGCTGCTCCAGGGTCAGGTATGGCTTCCCCTTGGCACCTCTGGGTGGGGCGGGAAAGTGCATCACGTCAAACCTCATCAACTCCCCACCCTCCCTCCAGTCCAGAGGGCATGGGAAGCTCTGTCCCTGCCTGCCCAGCTCCGACACCAGTGATGGGGGGACTCGGACAAGCCACTGGTCCTCGGACCACTTGGCACTGGCAGCAGACGAGGTCGCACTGGTCATCGAGAGCCCGGTCCCTGTGCTCTGCCCCGAGATCTAGCTCTAACCGTAACTACAGCCCTCATTTGCTATGTGTGCTCAGGTAAATCCGACAACAGGTCTGAGCCACTCTGCTCTTGTCTACAAAGTGGTCTGGCTCCACTAACCCTGGCCAACTATCAGCACAGAGCAGTCTAGAAACAGTTATCACTACAGGTGAGCTCCCCCAACCCCGGCCCGCCAACTCCCCTTCTCCTGGATGGACCCACAGGCACTTTGAGCAGAGGCCCGGCGGTGGAGAGCCCTCAGCCCCACACCCACTCACATCTCCAGCAGGATCTTGTCGATGTCCGGCCGCAGACATAGCTTGTTCAGGAATCGCTCAAATATGTCCAAGGAGAACTCATCAGGCCGGATTGACTCACTCTGGGGGCCAGGAAGGAGGAATGAGAAGCCAGGGGCAGCCATCCCCAAAGGTAGGTGCCCACCAGGACTACCTCCTGTCCCCACGCCCCTACACCACCCACACACCCTGTTGAAATTGAGGCCACAGGATTCCAGCGCAGTTTCCACCCGCTTCTTGTCTGCTGAGAACATCTTCAGGATGCTGGAGCAGATGGGAGGGGTCAGGGTCAGGGCTGAGGGGGAGGGAGGACTGGAGGTCACCAAGGTCACCAAGGTCAAGGGAAGGAGTGCTCACTTCTTGACTGGAATCCTCCCATCCTGGTTCACCTGCAACTTCAGCTTCGTGTATCTGTGAAGACAGATCACAGGGTCACACCATGGGGATGGCCACTCAAGGCCCCCTCAGGCACCCAACTCAGGCTGGCCCCGGAGCTCACGCTTTGCGCAGGAAGGTGTTCCGGGAGGCATTCTGAGCCAGGATGTTCATAGCCAGCTTGAACAGCTCCTCAGACCAGACCTGGGGGGTCAGCAGACAGTGGTGGTGAATGGGGGACAGAGTTGCTTGGCCAGCCATAGCCCTCGCCCAGCATAGACCTGGCATTCAGTAGTGCTAACGTACTGGTTTATCATCAGACGGTTAGATACGGGGATTAATAAGTAACAGCTAACTAAGTGATCGAGTCAGGGGCTCCCCTTACCTGCCCCTCAGGGTGACACCCTACCTTGGCTGTGTCGTCCTGCACAGCCATGAAGTTTAAGAACGTCGTGTTCACGGGGTCTGGGCCAGCCACCACCGTTATTAGCTTTTCTTCCAGCCGGGCATCAGGACCTCCGAAGCCCAGCACCTCTCGGATCTTGGGGTCCTGGGAAGGTGGACAGCCTAAGCTCAGGAGAGGTTCCCCAGTCCCCCGGGCCTCATTCCTATCCCTAGTCCTGGGCCCCATCACTTACCTTGGGCAGGCGGGCATAGCGACCTGTCCGCGTGTCCCTGATGGAGCTGATGTCCAGGGTGTCCACCTCCTAGGAGATCAGATGTCAGGGTGAGTCTGAGAAGCTACAAAGAAAGAGCCAGGAGCCCCCCCAGCTCCCCACCCCCTGGCTAGAGCCCCAGCTCAGCCCCCGCCCTTAGCACTTCCTGTCCAGGGAACCGTGTGAGAGGTCAGCTGGCAGCTGGGCTCCAACCCCATGGGTAGAGGATGCCATGTTGGGGTTGCCCTTACCATGTTGGGCCCTGTCCAGTACAGGAAGAAGCCATTGGAGTCCACACGCAGGGTCACCAGGTTCCGACTAGAGGCTTCCTGGAGACAGGCCGGGAGAGCAGGGGTGAGGGAGTGAGGGCTAAGTGTTAGTCCTGCCCATAGACTTCAGCCTAGACGTGACCCTTGACCTCTGTGCTGTCCACCTACTGCATCTGCTAGTCAGTGAAGACAAGATCCCTTCCAGTCCACAGGCCCTCAGCAGCTCCCTGTTGTTAAGTGCTGTCAAGTCGGTTCCGATTTGGTTCCGACTTGTATAGGGTTTCCGAGAAGCAACAGGTAAGCTTGAACCGCCAACCTTGCGGTTCAAAGTGACTTTGCAGTCCAGCACATTAACCCACAGCGCCACCTCAGGACTCCAAGCAGCTCCCTACAGCTCTCGAAACCAAACCAAGGTCCTCGGCGTGGCATGTGGCGTCCTCACAAGCTGGTTCCTCCCATCTTACCTCTCGCCCTAAGACACTGTCAGCTGGACCCACTGCCTACCCTTCCTTCCCCACTCACAGCTTCTCCTCAGTGTTCCCTTTGCGGGCTCGCCTTTCCTTCTTGCTCTTCCCGTGAAATAGGACCCACCTCCTTGGGAAGGCTGCCCCTTACCCACTGCCTGAGCTTGGTTTTCCCAGCAGGCCCATGAGCCTCCCAAAGGTTAGAGCCCCGGGGCAGTGCCCTGAGCCCACTGTGGAGGTTTATGAGAATAGACCTTTTATTTCTCTGTTCCTCTGCAACCACCTCTAGGTCCACTTCCCCCCGCTGTACCCCTCACCTGACCCTATATCCCCCTGGGCTCTTCTCACAGCCTCAGTTCACCCCAACCCACCCTGCACCCTAGGAAGCTTTGCCAGTTCCCCACCCCACCTGTACCCCAAGACTCTCAAGGGCTCACAAAGGAGCAGATTGAGCCCCCCTCCCATCTCAGCAAACAATGAACTGTGTCCTTCCTCAGACAGCCTTGTGGCTGGCAGGGGGCAGTGCTGGCCCCAATGGCCCATTTTCTGAGGAGGCCCGGTCCCTGGCTTACTCCCAGGGCCACCCAGTGCGACTGAGGGACGGCAGTCAAAAGGAGCTATCATGAAGGGCTTGGGCTCAGCCAGCGCCCGAGTGGCCAGGTGGTCAGAGGCCACAGTCTCCTACCCAGGCGCGGTTCCCTGGCTGGTGGATAATAAATCACTATGCAGCCCAATACACAGGTCCTCTCAACAACACAAAGAAGCGTGTGTTGCTGTTATTCTACTTTGTTGTTGTTGTTAAGTGCTGTTGAGTCAGTTCTGACTCATAGCGACCCGGTATAGGGTTTCCGAGGAGTGGCTAGTGAGTTTGAGCCGTCGACCTTGTTGAAGTGGAGTGCTTATCCTACAGAACCACACCAGGACTCCATTTTACAGAAAAGGAAAGTAAGGCACAGGGAAGCTGAGGAGCTTGTCTTGCAGACAGACAGTAAGTCTTCAGTGTTATGAAGCCTGGTATGCAGGGGCCCAGAAGCCCCAGCCAGTGGCCAGCTCCAGACTCCACCATAGCCCCAGGGTGAAGTCGGGAAGTCCTAGGTGACCTCACTGTCCCCTTCTGGAAAATGGGACTGTACCAGCCCCACCCATCTCAGGGCTTGCTACAGTAGATAAGAGGTTGATTTGGGGGTAGAGGGGAGAGGAGTTCCCAGAACTTCCAGGGCACATGGGCTGCCCCACCTCCGTGGGCTCACACCCATCCTAAACCAATCACAGTAGGAACCCCAACCCTCCCCTGGGCTGAAGCCCCCCCCACATAGTGTAGGGAGAGCTGAGTTGAGAGTATTGTCCCCAACGCCTTCCCTATCCTCAACAAGGGCCTTAAAAGGCAGCCTGGGCCCCCTGCTCTCCAGCCCCAAGCCCTGGTCAGCACCCCACCCCACCCCCAGGGCCTTGTCCCAGCTCCCACTTCCTTATTTGGGTTTATCACACTAGAAGGAAAAGGAGAAACTTTCCCCTTAGGACTGGCCTGGGGGGAGGGGTCTCCCAGCTCTGTGGGCACCCAGGTACCTCTGACGGCACACCTGCTGCCTCAGGCCCCGCCTCCGGCCCTCCCCACCAGTTCCCACGCCTCCCGCCGCACCCAGCCCAGCCGGAAAGGAGCCCAGAGTCTTCCAGGCCTCTGGGCTGACTGGAAAGGAAGCGCAGGCAGGCCGGGTGGGGGCCCTGGGGAAGGAGAGGCCCAGGGGGCAGGCACTGGGGCGGTGAAACCAAGTCTGGGAAGCCTGAGTCTCTGGGAAGCACAGGGGTAGAGAGCAGTTGGAAAGGGGGCCAGGTTTTACTGGGGTTCAAAGTCCCCATGCCAAGGAGTTGGGAGCAAAGTTCTCCAAGGCTGGAGACTCAGGAGGTCCAGGTCTCCATTAGGGGTGATTTGGTGCTCTCCTTTGAGCAGGAGGCTGGGGTGAAATCCAGAGGGAGGGCAAAAGGCTGTCAGTCCGATTGGGGTGAAAAGTGATGAATGAAAAGGAGTGCTCTCTGCCAATGACATCAGGAAAAGGAGGATCTCAGCAGCACCCATGCAAAAAAGGGGTGCGCTGAGCCAGAATGGCCATCAGGGTCCCAAACCAGAGCAAAGGGTCCAGATCAGGGTGGAGAGCCAGAATTAACTTGGTAGGAAGGGATGAGAGAAAAGGGGGCAGGATTTATTGGGGTTCAAAGCCTCGAGCGTGGGGAGGGGGAAAGGGAGCCAAGTTTTCGGGGGGGGGGGGACGGACAGTCTTCATTACGGAGTCGCGGAGGGGGGGCCTCAAGTTTCCGGAGTGCATTCAGACTACGATGAGGGGCCGAGGGCAGATCGGGCAGGTGGGGGTCCCCGGTGTCTGGTCCAGCTTGAACAGGTTACCCACCCCCATCCCCCACCCCGCCCGGCGCTTACCTCGTCCCATTTGATGAACTTACTCCCGCGCCGCAGGGTCTCTACCACGGTGGGCGGCTCCAGCTGCAGCGCGTGGACGCCGGGCCTGGCGCCCGCCATGGCCAGTCTGAGAGCGGGTCGGGGGCCCGCGGGGCCCCGACGGGGACCGACGGCACCACCGCTTCTTCCGCGCGACTTTCGCGCGGCCCGCTGTGGCCCCGCGGCGTCAGCGCCCGCCTGCCCGCCAGTCTGTCCCGGACCGACCAGCGACTCTGCGGGGCCGGGGCGGTCCGAGGGGCGGTCCGGGGGCGGTCCGGGGGGCGGGGTCTCCCATACCAAGGCGTTTGCCCGCACAGCTCGCACGGGCTCCCCCTGGCGGTCGGGCTGCCACTGCAAATCAGAGAGGGGTTGGGGCCCTGGTGCACTTGGCCTGGGACTGGGCTGGGGCACTCAACTTCGGGCCCAGGGCTGGGGTGGTGGGAATTGCAGCCCAGAAGACTGCTGGAGGTCCAGTTGGGAGGCTGGGTGTTGAGGGCTGGCTTCAGGTTCGGGCGGCTGGGACCTGCCCCCTAACCTTCTAGAGGACAGACAGAGGATCTATTGGAGGACCGGACTTGAAAGCAACCAGGGGGCTCAGGACCCTGCCCCCAACCCACACCAGCGGCCCTTAGCTGAGTGCAGGAAAAGCCACTCCCACCCCCCCTCTCTGCCCTCACTTTGCCTCACCCCTCCCACTGCTGTGCTCCGTCCCCTCCCTGGGAGCACTTAGCCGGCTAATGGGCCTCCCCGCCCGCAGCACCCTCCCCCTTCCTTGGCCCTGGGAGGCTAGGCGCCTGCTGCCTCCAAAGAGAACCTAGGCGTCCTGGCCTTCCAGGGCGCACCCCGGAATAGCCCCCTTTACATGCCATCGACCACTTCAGACAGAATCCAAAGCCTGCTTTTGTGGGCCTGGGACTGGAAAACTGAACTGTGCGTGAAAGTGCAGGCACGAAGAACCCTGGTTGATTGCCCAGAGCTTCAGAAGCCTCCAAGGCATTCTGAACAAGGGGTTAAGGAGCGGCTGCGTGAAGGCTGGCCCATAGCAGGTGCCCTCAAATCTAGGGACAGCAGGAGAGGAAAAGCACATTGACAGGAGATGGGTGGGGGCTGCAGCCCCTCCCGCAGGGCTTGGCTGGGGGGGCTCCTGCCTGGGGGCCCCTGTGGGAGCCCCCCCATACAGAGGCAGTAGCGGCAGCAGGTTTAAAGTAGAACTCATCCAGAGGGGCCAGCCAAGTCACCTAGAAACCCAGAAAGAGCCAGGCTGGTTCTGGGGGAGGAGGGGTCAGCCAGGGATGAGCGGGCTCTTCAGAACCCCTTTGCCCCCAGGATGCTCCGATCCTAGGGGGAGCTGAGCCCAGTACTCCTCAAATCCCCAGCATGTTGGACACCATTTCTAACCTAGGGAATTTCGCCTTTGACCTTGACCCTGTGGAGTGCATAAGCATCTCTACTTGAGGTCCAGAGAAGGGAAGGGACTTGCCCAAGGTCACACAGCTTCAGAGGGGATTTCAATCATCTGAATTGAAGTCCAGCTTCCTTCCTGCCTCTATCTGCCCTTGAGGAGAGAAAGAAACAGAGCAGGACCTGCAATTTCTGCCTTCTCTCACCAGAGCAGCAGTGCTAGACCCCCTCAGAGACCACCAGGACCACAGGCCCCACTGGGAACACAGAGCCATGCAGGGTGGAGGCTGGCCTCCATTCCCAAAGACCTTGGTTCAAGTCCACTCTTCCTCTTGCTACTAAAGAAACTGGTCTCCTAGATCTCTGTCACCTTGTCCAGAAGCTGGAGGCAGAGGAGAACTGATTTAGCAAATGAATAGGATAAATGACCCTTGACAGCTTGTAGTTTACAATCCAACAAGGGGCATGGAGGAGAAAGAAAGCACCTGCTTGTGGTGGGGGGCTCCCAGCCAGTGTCAGGACCAGAGTTTGGGGAGGTTTGAGTGGGGTCTCCAGATTTTAGCAAAACCCAAATCCACTGCCATGGAGTCAATTCCAATTCATGGAGAGTCTATAGAGGGTTTCACAGACTGCAAATCTTTACCGGAGAAGCCAGACCTTGGCGGAGAGTTCATAGAAGTTCTTGGCAGCAGCTTCTTGGACAACAGGATGGGAACCTGTTTCCTGGGCCCCAGCCTCTCCTCCTCTCTTTCTACCCCCATGTCCCCTGAGGCCAGGCCAGCCTCCGCTGAGGCCAGGGCAGCGCCAATTCATCCTTCCTCCTCTGGACATTTCTTTCAGTCCTGGTAACGGTAATGGGGCTCTCAGCCACAGTAATGCTGGAAAGAAGGCTGATTTTCCAGCCTTGATGAAGCAAATGATCACTTCCCTCAGGACCCTCCCCAGGGCTTCTGCCTGGTGGAGGAGGGAGGAGCTGAAAGCCTTAACAGCACACTGGTGGAGGGGAGTGGGGGGACAGCCTAATGCTCCAGGGATGGAGAGTGGTGGGTGGACACACCCAGGACAGAAGGGTTCAGACGAGGGGCCAAGGCTGAGAAGTGGACCAGGACAGCATCTAAATTGTAATCCTAACCATGGAAGGTTAGGATAATCAGCCCACTTGATCCCTGCTGGTGCTGTGGGTTAACTGTTGGGCTGCTAACCTACCTTAAAATCAGAAGTTCAAACCCACCAGCTGTCCTATAGGAGAAAGATGACGTTTCAATCAAGATTGACTGTCTCAAAAAGCTTCAAAAAGAGTTCTTTGTGGTCCTATGGGGTCACTGTGCGTTGGAATAGATTCCACGGCAGTGATGAAGAGGCTTAAGGTTAGGTATGTCCTCTCAGCCAGCATTTGAACTTTGTTCTTGCACTTCAAGGTAAGACCCTGTGCAGGGCTTCAGGTGAACATGCCAAGCGCAGTCTCACCCATAGCAGGTTGCCATGGGAAGGAAATGGACAGAGTGGTGGTAGTGGTGGTGATGTGGCCTTTGGTGGATTCTGACTCATAAAGACCCTGTATAGGGTTTCTGAGGTTGTCGATCCTTACGGAAGTAGAAACCTCATCCTTCTCCTGAGGAGCGCCTGCCTGGTGGAGATGAACTGCTGACCTTTCAGTTAGCAGCCTAATGCCTAACCTACTAGGCTACCAGTGTTCCCACAGAGAGGAGTTCCCCAGGAATTGGGTGTGGCCTGGAAAGTGGGAGGCAGGAGAGAGGTATCCCTGGCTCCCCCTCCCCCTGCTCCTGGCCACCTCTGACATTTGGACAGGAAAGGCCTTCACATCAGCCCTGAGGGGAGGAGAAACGGGGCCACAGAATATGTTGGGGACAGGACTAGTGTTGGCACCCACATCTTAGTGGACTGCAGGCCTCAGTCCCATAGCAGAGCCTTAGGAGCTGGCCAGGTAGTCCAGTCCTCCTAGTGGTGAGCGCCTAAAGCGCTGATGGGGTGAATTGGAGTGAAGTGGGGAATTTGGACTTGAGCAGAGGGCCCCACCCATCATACCAGGCTCCCTGTGGAAAGGGTGGGTCTCACCTAATCTGAGAGAGAGCAAGGGTCGGCCCTTCCCTGGCCTCCCAGGCTGTAAAAGGAGGCTAAGGCTAGAAGGTGGGGCTGGGGAGGGGCAGGGAAAGAGCCCGGTGAGCCTGTCCCTCACCCCAGCACCTCAGGGAGAAGCTCACTGTCCCTCCCCCTCACACCCACCATTCCCAATCTCAGTCTCCTCTTTGTCTCTTCTCACCCCAAAACAGGGAAAACTAAGGACTCCAAATCTTGAGTTTGAGTTCGTTCGGCTGTAGTGAAAGCTGCCAGGAGACATCCTGGCCAGCTCCAAACCTGCTCTGAACCCCACCTGCTGCAAGAAGGCTACAGAGGGTGGGCAGAGAGGGCATCTGTGAGGGGCTGGGCAGAAACACTCAGTACTTCTCAAGTCTTATCACCCCGCTTAGTACAGAGGAGGGTGAGCTTGCCATCCATGGAAGCATCCCAGTGGAAGCTACACAGCCTTATTAAGTAGTGTAGACAGGAAGCAGGAAGGAGAACAGAGACTTTGCAGTGGGGTTCTAAGTCACACAGCCCAGGTTCAAGTCTGAGCGCCACCTCCATCATTCTCTGTGGTACATTCATTGAACCTTTCATGCAGGTTCTTAGTTCATCTTCATCAGTATGTTCTGTGAATCCTGGTGTGGCACTATAAGATAAAACACTCGATTGCAATGTTGGTTTGAAACACAAGGTCCGGCAATTCAAATCCACCAGCTGCTCCTGGAAACCCTTAACAACAGCTACCTTCTGACAAAAAGGACACACAGAGGAAGCCATTTATTCACTCACTGATTAGTTATGGAGCGCAGGATGTCTCACAAAGTTCTGGAGAGGTCAGGTTGAAATGAGTGGGCCGACTTAACCCTGAGCGTAAACAATGACCAAGGTACAAACCATCTGGGCCCCAAGGAGCTCAGGGTCTGGAGGTGGGAGAAGAAAAACAAAAACAAAACGAATGAGAGACAATTTAAAGATACAGAAAATCAGAGTGAGTCCTCTTGAGAAGCAGCAGTGCAAGGCAGACGATTTAGGGAACAAAAAATACGAGGTCCTTGGGTCCTCATTCTAGAACTGGTCCTGCGTGCCGGTCCGTGTAAGTGCCTAGTAAGGGGACTCAGCCACTTCCCAGCCCTTCGCCTGAAGTTCCCTGTTTGTACACACAGCGGTTGCAGAGTGCGGAGGACCGCGCCTTAAGGAGGAGGCCAGTCCTAAAAGGGTGACCCAAACAAATTCGACACTTTCCGGTCTAAACACTGCCCGGGGGGAGGGACGGCCATGCGGGAACGGCCCCGCGAACTACATTTCCCATGGCGCCAGTTTCTGCCGCCATCTTGGCTGGTGGGCGGTGGCTGGCTGGGTCAAGCCCTTCAGGCCCCTGGATTGCCTGGGCCCACCCCCATCCTCGTTTCCTGCGTCGAGGGTGCAGGATCCCGCCGGATAGGGCATTCGGCGCTTAGGGCAGCCACTTTGTCCCTCCTGGAGCCGGGTCCACGTGTCGGCCCACACGGAGAAACCCGCTCGCCCCCCGCTGGCCAAGGACTAAGGCGTCGGGACCCTCCATGTCTTCTCTCTAGACTCCCGCCCTGCACTTAATGCCCACCCAGACAGCTCTATTCCTCCCTAGGAATAGGGAGGAATTGAACACTAGGAATTGAACACTAGGATCCCCGCAGGAAATCCTAGTAGGGGGAAGTCAGAACACTTGGGTTTAGACTTGTTATGTGCCGTGGAGTCAGTTCCGACTCATAGTGACCCTGTACAGGTTTTCCGAGGCCTGTAAATCTTTACGGAAGCAGAAAGCCTCATGTCTCCCGCGGAGCAGCTGGTAGTTTCGAACTGCTGACGCTGAGGATAGCAGCCCGATTCGTAACCACTACACTACCAGAGCTCCTTTGGGTTTGGACTAGAAAGGTTAGAAAGGGTGGCGGGGCTGACAGACTTCAAAGCTCCTAACCTCCAGACTGGAGACCTGGTGTGGCGTTGTAGGACAAGCGCACGACCACAAGGTCGGCATAAACCACAAGGTCGGTGGTTCAAACTCACCAGTTTCTTCTTGGAAACCCTGCAGTTAACAACAACCTCCAGACCATCCCTTAGCCCCAACCGTTTGCGGGGCGGGGGCTAGGGGCCCGCAGTGGGGCTGGCCCTTTAAGGGGGTGTGGTCGAGGGGCGGGGGAAGCAAGCGAGACAGAGAAAGCGGCTTCGTCGGCAGCGGCTCGGGCGGCGGCCGCGGGGGACAAAGGGCGGGCGGATCGGTGGGGAG